AAACCCTAAACCCTCCTATTGTCCCTAAATCTTCAGGCCAGACTTGAAGGTCGAGAGATTCGGGTTCACCCGGACCCTCGAGGAATCCTTGGGACTTTCTACAAGGGTTTAGGGTTTAGGGTTGTTATTATTTTTGTTAAGTGTTATTGATATGATTCGTATTATTAATAGCATTATGATTAATATGTGTTCATTATTGTCAGTATTTCTTTATAACCCTTTCAAGAAGTGCTTGGGCCGTGCCACGGGATAGTTTGTGCGTTCTAGGTGCACAGCGGTCATTTTGCGTGCGTTGTTCCTAAGGTAGTTCAGAAGGCAGAAGTGGGTCATGCGAGAATCGCAAGCCGTATTGACAAGCCCGTAATGTCAGGGTCCCCCCCCCCCCCTGCCTGAAGTGGTTTTGCGCGGGGGTCTCTTGGGGCAGGGTTTGGGTGGGGGGGTGGTAATAATCAATTTGTTTCCGTGTTTGCGGAACTGCACTCTGCTGCCTGTGTTTAAGGTCCTGTTAGTTTTAGCTTTTCTTAGTTTCTTAGTCTGGTGCCTAGTTTTTTTGGGGATTTTCGGCGGGAGGTTTTTTTTTTATTATCACCCCTTCAATTAATTCCACCCCCGCGTCTATAAGCAATTGTTTGGGCCATTTGGGCCTAGTATCTCTGCGCAATTAAAACTCAAGCAAATCGGGAAATTCTGGGCCGGGGAGGTTTTTTTTTTTTAATTACCTCCCGAAACATTGAATGGACACTCACATGAAAAGACTTAAGCCACGTCAGGTCATCCCAAATTCCTTGGACAGCTAGACCTCTGTCCTGCTTCACCGACAACCTGACTTGTAGATCCTGACCTACTCAGGCTCCTATGAGTATGAGGATCCCGTTTCTGACTGCAGGTTCCATAGTTCAGTGCAAGTGTCCCTAAACCCTAAACCTATGAATTTCATGGAGTTTGAGACTTGGGGCTTCAGAAGATACGGTGAATCTTCAACTTCAAACCCTAAACCCCAAACCCTAAACCTTGGGGCGTCAGAGGTTTCAGTGAAGATTCAACCTCAAACCTCGAACCCCAAAACTTCACTCCCAAAACCCGCAACCCGGAACCGTGACTGTACCTGACATGGCCTGTGTGTCGCAAGGAGGAGCGCAGAAGGAAGCATGAACGAGATGACAGGCACGGAATTCTCCAATGCTGCAGGGGAGTGTCTAACCTAAACCTGCCCAAAACCCTTGAAATTTCTAGCCTCACAGGCCTTCCCCCCTCCCTGAACAAAGCAAGTTGTTTGGGGTGCGGTTTACGGTTTGGGGCCCGAAACCCTCAACACCAAGATCATGCCTCGACCTGCCCGGAGCTGTAGAATCTAGAAGCCTAAATCATTACCAGTATTACTGTGCGTTAGGGTTCCTTATTATGATTGTGGTATAATATACCCCCAAAACCCTGTTCTAATTATTAAAACCCTACATTAATCTAACCCCGTCTCAATCCAGAGACTCCAAAAGCCTTGAATTGAAATTATGAGGAACTTACCGGAATTATCTTAAGCCAAGAGCCATCAGGGAAGGTATCTTTTAGATCCTGAAAGGATCTTAGAGGGATGCCCTTTCGCACCTTCACGGAGCTCTGTGAGGGATCTACTGAGAGCATCGCAGCAGAAGGATCCTCAGGGTTTGGGATTCAGGCTTCTCACCTCTCGCAGAGCAAGAACTTTGATGGAAGTCTATAAGTTATATTAAAAAAAGACAAGCTTTCTCGAACC